CTGAATAAAACTGTTTACGGCCTACAAATTAGATCACATGCCAAAAAAAACAAGAAAAATGATCAAAAAATGACAAATTTCAAAGAATCCGTGAAGAATACTGTGCAACCCGTGTTCTTCACGGACTCGCCGATTCCGCACTGTGAATCGGCGAGTCACTGTGCGGAATCGTCCGGTTCTCTCTAGAACCGGACGATTTCCGATTTTTTCACCGATCCGGTCCCTTTTCGCGATTTTCGAGTCGAACCGGGCGAGTCCGGTTCGACTCGGCGTTTTTTAAAACGCTGGTCAGAACTATTGATTTTTGAAAGAGGCAGGATTACCCTTCCTCACCTGTGCCCTCTTGGTGCCCGAGTGCCCCACCATGTCACTCATGGGGTCTTTAATTTTAGTTCCTCAGATTAACATTATTGGTCTCTGAAAGTTGCATTTTCTGAAGATTGTTGCACTAGGTTTGCAATATTCTCTTGAGATCTGTGGAGTTTTGTCTTTGAAAACCAATGATTACTATTCTGGGCATTCTTTTTTTGTTGATGGATAAACAAGCCAACTTTAGTATTGAGACCAGTATATTTGAATTGAAAATTTGGAAAATGGTAATCCTTCTTCTTTGTACAAGTTATCAAAAAGTTGTTTAGGAAACTCAGAGAGCTTTGTAGAATCATTATTTGAATCATTGAAGTAGGTTTTTGACGCATTCAATTCCACGCAATTGGTTTTTGACTATTGGCTGAAGACAAATATGAAGATCAATACTAAGATGAAATTGTTAGCTTTCTTGTTATTTTGTATGCTTTATTTATCCAGTTCTTGCTTTTGCCTTTTTTAGGTTTAAGGTACAATTAGAAGAAGAATAAGTGAGGGACTTGGTCATCTTTGGTCCCTTTTCTCAAGATCAGTGATAAAAAAAATTGGTGACTCGATCATGGACTTGCGCAAGTCACTCATGGGCAGGTGCTAAAAACACTCAGACTCTGGTGAATCTCACCAAGTTACAGACCCGGTTTTTTTTCACAGACACTTACCCAAGTTGGATCACCAACGAGGCCGAGTCAGTGGCTAACTCGGGCTTGGGATCCTGGTGAGTCCAAGACTGAGGCTGGCTATTAATCACTTCTTGAGATATCTTTTCTGTGTTGTTCTTATTATTGTACACTAACTTCAACATTTTCTGATGAGATATTTGAAAGTATTTTATGCATTTGATCTACTTTGTGAGATTGATTATTTTCTAGGACTACCTTACTTTGTCCTTCATTTCCTTCTTGTTGTAGAAGAAGAATCTTGTAATTTGATTTTCGTCTTATATTTGAAAAAGCCCAAAATGCATATAATTCTTATTTCTTTTTCCCTCTCATATTCAGAACGAGGAAGCTTTGTGGTGCAAGTGAAAATAAAATGGCGGGTGCTCTTTGTGGAGAAACCCTACCATCATCATCTATTGTCGTAGAGCCTCAGCGAAGAGCCCCAAAACGATTTACCAGGCAACAAATCCCAGACTCCATTCTGAATGACCCTTCTTTAAAGACTGCAATGGCCCTCCTTCCCACCAACTACAATCTCGAAATCCCCAAGTCCATATGGAGGATTCGACAGGCTGGTGCCAAGTGCGTCGCCCTCCAGTTTCCTGATGGACTCCTCATGTATGCCCTCATCATCTCTGATATCCTTGAAACATTTGCCGAGGTCGAGGAGTGCTTCATCCTCGGTGATGTCACCTATGGCGCTTGTTGTGTTGATGATTTCACTGCTACAGCCCTAGGGGCTGAGCTTCTTATACATTATGGCCACAGTTGTTTGGTCCCCATTGACATCTCTGATATCCCATGTCTATACATTTTTGTGGACATAACCATTGACTCCAATCATCTTGTTGAAACAATTAAGCATAATTTCGACCCCTCAGTGAAAATAGCTTTAGCTGGCACCATTCAATTCTCGACTGCAATAAATGCTGCTCAAGCTGCCCTTATCACTGATTTTCCTTCTGTAGCTGTGCCCCAAGCAAAGCCCCTTTCGGCTGGAGAAGTGCTTGGGTGCACATCACCGAAGCTTCCCAAAGGAGCGGCTGATGTAGTTGTGTTTGTTGCTGATGGGAGGTTCCATCTTGAGGCTTTTATGATTGCAAATCCTGGTGTCAAGGCCTTCAGGTATGATCCTTATCTCAAGGTTATGATATTGGAGAAATATGATCATAAAAGCATGAGAGAAGCCCGAAAGAATGCCATATTACAAGCGAGGGGAGCAAAGATGTGGGGTTTGCTCCTTGGTACTCTAGGGCGGCAAGGGAATCCCCGAATTTTAATGCACTTTGAGAAAAGGTTGGCTGAGAAGGGACTTGAATGTATGGTAATTTTGATGTCTGAGCTGTCGCCTTCTAAGCTTGCTCTCTTTGGGGAATCGATAGATGCATGGGTGCAAATCGCTTGTCCCCGCCTCTCAATAGATTGGGGCGAAGCTTTCGATAAGCCTTTGCTCACGCCTTTCGAGGCTGAGGTTGCACTTGGTTTTGTTCAACCTTGGTGGGAGAAGCCACAATTAAGTAGGGGGGGCTCCATGGATGCAACATGTTGTCAGGGGTCAACCCCATGCTGTCAAAATGCTGAGAAAGGGAAGAATGGTATGGAAAATGGCAAGGATCTCAAAGACAATGGTTTATGCGCATCGGAAATGGAAGAAATGGATTATCCAATGGACTATTACGCCCAAGATGGTGGGGAGTGGAATTGCTCTTATGCTAAGAGGGCTCCTCGTGAAAGAAGAGTGAGGACTAATCCTTTGAGTACTGGTTGATTTTTCATACTAATTTTTCTTTATCTTTTCTGTAGCGGCGCTTTTGATGCGATATGTTGATGTTTGTTTATTCATTCTTAGCTCATTTACTTTTGAAGTACATTTGTTTCCTCTCTGAAAAAAGCAGCATACAAAATATGTAAGAAATCAGGTCGTGTACTTCGGACAAGAAATCTTGTATTATAGTATAAGACTTTGCTCGTGAATCGATCCAAAAACATTACTTGTAAAGCCAGTCCCTTTTTAGATGGGTTGGGGTTTTGATACGCATCAACAATCTTTTGCATGGCTTAGAAAAAAAAATGTGTGCATTAGGCTAGTTCTATGATCAATTTTAAAATGTCTCATTCTGGTTTGCTGCTTCTTCGTAGCTAGCTAATGAAAATGTATACAAAGATACCGTTTGTTTTGTTACAAGGAGGTTACAATCATCTTTAATCATCATATTCAAAATCGAGCGACCACAAGACTAAGAGTATTCGAGCAACCACAAGACTCGGAGTATTCCATTGATTGGGCTTAAGAGCTCAAAAGAAAAGAAAGCTTCATGAATTTTGTGAAATATCTCAGGTTATCAATTTGATGGGTAAAACCGATTCTAACCTCCTTTGCCAAAAATAAATGGTCTTAGTTTTACCATCTCTTAAAATATGATTGTGAACTTGCGCTTTTCCTTCTTTCCTTTTCTTTATATTTATTAGGGGACTGTAATTTTGGCAACACCATCTTAGATTTTGTCTTGTTGAAGGTAGTTAATATTTCACATTTGTTTTGGGTACATCTCTTAGGAGGTGCAGCAACAGGTTGTGGGCGGTCCGGGTTGAACCCAACATGTTACCCGACTCGGCTAGGTCTAACTTATAAAAAATGAAAACATAAAAACATAAAAAAAATTATAACTCGAACTTGGTTAGCAATGAAAAAAATAAAAAAATTATTTTATATATTTTACAATATTGGTTACTATTATTTAACTTATAGGCAAAAGTATATGAGGTTGACACCTTAAAATGTAGAATTAAGGTACAAATTTGTTCTTTGTTGTTTTGATGTTAGAAAAAGATCTAATTGTTCATCTCGCCATTGAGATGCATGGATGTGGAGAAAAAAGGAGATTTCAAGTCTTAAAAACAATACATCTTGCAACACATTATCTAGGCCATCTTTTTTTAAATTTTAATTCATTGTAGATCTACTTGAGTTTAATGATTTTTGGAGTTTAAATTTTTTTGATTAGAGATAAAACTAGATTATTGCATCATCCTATGAAATTTTCGACACCAGAATGCATCTTATGATAAAGTAAACAAAGACAAATATGCATATGTAAATGAAGATTGATGTTTGTTAAAGAGACTTGCCCAATTGTATAGGAGAAATTCCAAAATTTTAAACAATTTATTTGAAAATTCTAAAATTAGACAGTGCTACTTTTCTAGAATTTTTCTTGAAGAGGTTTTGCTTTTGTAAAACTTAAACATAAAATTTAGCTCGTGCCTGCTCCTGAGTACACACGCATTTGTGTGCGTGAGAGATCCATCCGCTTGTACACATGCTAGAGAGAAACCACCCCAGGCTTAGCGAACTCCGGGGCCTCGTACAGAGGGGCGATCATCCCCATTCACATGCATGTTATTCCTTCACATGTGTGTAACTTTGCATGCCAGAGAGATAGATATCCACGTTTGGTTTGTATGAAAATATTTTTACATGAAAATTTTTTTTCACGCGGTCAAAGATGAGAATATTTTTACATCAATTAATTGTCAATTAATGTAAAAAGATGTACTAAGACCAATTGGTATGAAAGTATTCTCACACTATTATATTAGAGAATTTTTTCATGTAAAAATGTTTTCTAAAAAACATTTTCATGCGAACCAAACGTGCTCAGTAAAATGATAAGATCAGATACGTTAATAAATAAATAAATAAATAAATAAAAGAGAAAAAGAAAAAGAAAAAGAAAGTAAGAGAGAGAAGCTATTACAATTTTCCCCGAAGTACGAAATCTACATCTTCTCATGTTCTACAGTCACATGCTCTTTAGATGGTAGGTTCGAAGCCCTAAATAGCACAAAAGCTTGTCCAAATTCCAAGACGTTTACTCCTCTCACAGGGGGACTCCAATTAAAACCCTCAAGGCATATAAACCAATGTTATCAGAACGATAGCGAAATCGAAAAAGTGTTTGGTCCAGTTCAATTAGTTTAGCCGGCTACAAACCGATTCAGACTGTTGGTTCCAATTGGTCGAAACTTCTAAAATATTTAACAAAAAATTATAAAATCACAGGTCTTTTGGTGATCTGGTTTTTTAGCTGATTGAGTCAGTTCGGAGACTAGGCGGCAGTCTAATGGGTTCGATGAATTGGTTCTGGTAAATTCTGATACCAATAGTAGTACAGAACAAGCGTTTCCTTGAAGGAACTTTTTTGTTAGCCAAGAATGAAAAGCATTTAATCAGGAGCTGCTTAATATACGAGTGTTGTGATAAAAGCGAAATTTATTTTCCAATCATTTATTCAATATGAAATTTACACGAAAATTAGCTAAGAATTATATTTCTTGCCTAATTTCATAGAAACCTTGAAGCATCTTTTAGAAAAGAAATGATCAGAATAAGGCCATACAGGTTTCTAGGCCCAAAGAAAGCATCTCTAAATGCAGATGGAATGTGCCCATGCTACCGCTTTAATATGAGGTGAGGTTTGTATAAGGTGGCCTCCTTGTACTGTGGAAATAAGGCGTCTTCTAAATTTTGGCCAAAAAAGTAGATCCGGTGTCGAAAGCGTTATGATACGTTGAAAATATTTTTTCATCCCTAACTATAAAATTGAAAAATCTAAAATTGGTACAGATCAAGCAGATATGTAAATACTTGAAAATTTTTGAAATAGAAAATCTAGATAATTTGTAATAAAATGACTATTTTTAAAACTTGAAATTTTTTTTTTTTTTTTCATATACATACATCTTAAGTTTGAGATGTCAAATTGGAGATTTTACCAACTTAGGAGCATTCTCTTATAAATGATTTTGACCAGAAGACCTTCCAAAAGGGATTGATTGAGAATAATTGGGTAGAAACTCTATGACATTCAATGTGTTCCTCTCTTCTATTTCAAGGTGCTTTCCAATGCTATGGTTGAAAAGCCTTTCACACTCACTCCTAATACGATTGTTTTGGAACCATTGGCCACTTGTTGGGGAGAACTTTATGTAACCTGAGTAAACAGCTCCCTTTGGGATAGGCTTGTTTTTGAGGCAAAACATGCTACCAAACTCAATTATAAACCAACAATTTGGGCTAACTCAATTATAAACCAATAATTTGGGCTGTTAAGTTGTTTAAGTTGTGGAATGTATCAAACATGAGACTTTGCAAATGATTTTATCTCACAAAGAATGATATAAGTAGAAAGGATTATATACTATGAGACCATTAGATGTCAATTTGGATGGCTTCTAGTGTGTTATAAAATAAGTGAAATTTTCTTTCGAACTTTGAGTCTAGTCAATGATATATTCAAAACCACTCATTTTGAAATATGACGGACATCAATGATTGTGACCTCCCTATACTAAAAGTAGATGGTCTCTTTGTGTACTTTTTCTAGTATGGAAATGATCAAAATACCAATGAGAGTTACTCTATTTATCATTATACACATTTGCAGGATATTTGAACGCCTCATCATGTGTGTTTTCACAGGTATTTTGAAATTACATCAAACAATATGTGTGATTGATAAATAATAGTATCCTCTCATGGGTATTTTGATTAAGTTTTTCAAAATATACAAAAGAATATAGGAGGGAAAATGAGTTGGGCACGGGCAATGATGCCAACAAATTTTCCTTAGGGCTAGGACTGCAGATAGGCTGGCTGGTGGACCTTGGGGCTGGGCCTGGCTCAAGAAGCTCTATGAGGCTCTTGGGTTGGGACCAAGCTTAGATGAATTGGACCTGGGCCAGGCTCAGGCGGCTCAATGATGCCCACAAGCTGGAACCTAGCTATAAATGCCTCTGGGCAGGGAGTGCCTAGCTGGCCTATTGGCAGCCCTCTTTACATATAGATCTACTAATCAGCCACGCCCCTAGCCCTAGCTCAAACGATTCAGTCCGGCCTGGCCAAGGTCTTCATAAAATTTCTGGTTGGGCTTGGGCAATGGACTAAGCCGAGCCTGTCCCATTGGCAGTCCTATCGTGGCATCTGGCCTACAAGTGTTGGATAACTTCTACTGATGTGTGCCTTTGATACAAGGAATGTGCAAATACATCAACAAACAATAGTGCTCTCTCTGTCTCAGTCTCAGATCACTCATAATAAAAGTAGAAAGAAAAGAAAATAGAAAGAATGATAGATATATAAGTGATGCAAACTTGTTTCACACAAAATGCTCAAAATGGTCATTGCTTCTCAGCAATTACATAACCATTTAGTCTTTTACTACAACATTAAACCTTTCTATTCCCATATCACCTCATGCTTCTGTTGTGTTCCATTTTCCATGGATCCTCCTATCTTCTGAAGTTTACTCTTATCTTTGGAGAATTGGGAATCAGACTTTGACATAAACTCAACAGGGTTCATAGTTCCTGTTCATATATAGTAACCCTTATTAGTGTCAAAACCACCTAAGAGCTAGTATTCTCACCTTCACCTTCTTCTAGCCCAGGTTGGAGGTTAGATTCTCACCACGGTGCATTTGATATCATCTAGTATTTATCTACTATTACCATTTGCAGGTTCGACCGGTCGGTTGGCCTCCCCGGCTGCCGCATGCTGAGACAGCAGTAGTGTTGTCGTTTTCTTTGCAAACAAATCACTCACTTCCTCGAGTGTTCGGCCGTTGGTCTCAGGCAAGAAGAAAAAGATGAACAAGAATGCAAGAAAACAAATCCCTGCAAACAAGAAGAATGCCCCTCCTACGGTGATCGCCTTATAAAGAGATATGAAGGTCATTCCATTCACACCGCTCATCAAGCGGTTCACTGCGACCCCGATGCTAACCCCTGTAGCCCGAAGCCTTAGAGGAAATATCTCCGAAGTGTAAACCCAAGCTATTGGTCCTAGACCGACTTCGAAAAATGCAACATATAGAAGAATTGTCACTATGCATAGAGTAATGGCCCATTCTAACTTCTCATCAGTGTGTGCTATCATGGTTAAGCCAAAGCCAAGACCACATACAGAAATTATCATTCCTCCTAAACTAATAAAAAGCAGTGGCCTCCGACCCATTCTATCCAAGAGGAAAGTGGCTATTAGAACACTGAAGGTCTTTGAGGCTCCAACAGCAATTGTGGCTCCAAGGAGATGATTTTTTTTCTTTATTCCGGCCTGTCGGAAAACCCGAGGGCTATACAGAACAACTGCATCAATGCCGGAGGCTTGCTGGAAGAAATGCATGCCTATAGCTACAATTAGGATGCGGCGGATGGCTGGGGTGGGATGTAGGATGAGCTCCTTCCAAACACCCTCACCATCGTGACGTTTTGGCACAGATACAATCTCCCCATCAGTGTCATTAGGGATCCCAGCCGAGAGCTTAATTTCGGAGAGGCGGAGTTGCGCTTCATCTGGTGAATCCGAGGTCTTGAGCAAAACCTGTCACATGCATATAATTTAATGAGGACATCAGTTCTATTACACTAACATTAATGTAAATTGGATCGCATCCGAATCCTAAAGTTTGCATAGGCAAAAGTAGTACTAGAATGGACGACCTCCTGGGAAATATTTACATCGGCATACAAAGAGAACCTTCTACCATACACTCTGCATTTATCTTACTCTAGTGTTTCTAAGGAGAGGGGCTTATAGTATGATCCATAGGTTTATGGTAACAATATGATCACAAGGGTCATCACCTTCCTACTACCAACATGTTGGGCAGAGAGTGGGACCAACCAAACATGTCACTATTGATTGTATGTCCATTAGCCCTCGTGACCATGATGTTGCCATGATCACAGGATCATACTTTACTTTATCAGGAATATGTCACAGGCCAACAAATTTCTTAACAGAACATGATATCAGTTAACAAAGAGCTGCATTCCTCTGCCACTAATCAGAGAGAGAAAGAAGTAAATAATCAAATTTTCGTGAAACAATTTCCATTACCAACCTTCATCGCAGCTCCGAGCTTCCCCTGCATAATGAGCCACCTCGGCGACTCCGGCATCACCAGCCCCCCCACTATTAGAAACACCGATGGTACCACCCCCACCCCAAGCATCATCCGCCAGCTCAGTTGCAACGACAGATCCGCAAACGCAAAATTTGAAACATATCCCAACAAAACGCCCCCATTTATGAAAATCTCAGGAAAAGAAGTCAGAAAACCACGGATCGATGTAGGTGCTACCTGATAGAATTACAAGGATGCTAAGAAAAATGTGAAATCGGGAAGAAATTGAAAAGTTATTATTCATTGTTATCATTATCATCCAAGCTTTATCCCAACTATTTGGAGCCAATATACAAGTCCTGTTATGCAATTATGCTCTATCAAGAGCCATACCTCAGCCTGACCATAAGTCATCTTATATTTCCTCACTATTTTCATCCGTTCTTTGGGGCCTTCCTCTCTTGCCCTATCAGAGCCTTCATTTTATTGGAAGGATTTTGTGACGTTTAAAAAGTTGTTTTCGAGTTGAGAAAGAGAGTCTTCTACTTCGTGCAAAGTTTTATTCCAAACTGTCAAGACTACATTACCTCAGTAGTGTACACAGGTGCTATCATTAGTGCATAACCGACACCGATCCCGGCCACGACACGACCAGCCGTTAGTAAAGCATAATTGGGAGCAAAACCCATTATAACGGAGCCGACAAAGAAGATGGCTCCAGCAAAGGCAATGGTTTTGCGGCGGCCAATCCAGTCAGAGGTCCAACCGGCAAAAGCAGAACCGATGAGGGCATATATGTTGATGGAACCGACGAGTATCTCAACTTGGATGTCATTGATGTTGAGGTCATCCTTGATGAACATCGCCGCTCCGCTCATCACACCAGTGTCTGTGAGACCAGAAGAGAATGGTTGTTATTCACCTATACCACACATATCTCGCTCTCTCTCTCGTATACACATACATCAATACGCTCCACAACACAATCTTCTCCCTCTTAACACATTCTAATCCGATTTCCATCAAATATCGAGAACCAACTGTGTTGTTCAAGTAGAAGAACTGAAAAAGGCAAGGGGTAAGCCCAAAAAGACATAGTTGGAAGTAATCTAAAAAGATATGGAGACTGGATAGCATAATGGAGAACCAAGATTCATTTAGTTGACCTCAATTAATCAGAAAAAAAGCTAATATGATGATGATGATCAAGAACCAGCTGGTTCACTATAAGAGCCGCACACTTCTTGACGGAACCTTCATGGAAATGGCCGAGATTACCTACTTCCTATGTTAGCTTTTTTCTTTTAGTTTTTTTTTATTTTTTTGTTCACTTTGTAGTTTACTATATAGAAATGGTCCCACTTCCTTTAAACAAATTTTCTTACTTCCTATTTTTCTTTTCTAAACTTTGGCCTTTACTCTTTTTTATAAGGTTGTCTGTGAACGGAAAAAAAGAAGGCAGAAACGTCCCTTGTGCTATGTTCTTTTATTCCCCCTTTAACATGGCAAATGACATTCTTCCATTTATGCATGTTTCATTTTTTTTTTTTGTCTACTCCTTTATATAGACCAATGTTTTAAATTTGTCCTCTTTATATCGACCAATCTTTAAAACTTGTCTACTCTTTTATACAAACCAATGTTTTAAAAAATGGACAAGTGACCCAGCCACTTTTAAAAAAAATTGGGTCGAATTGATGGATCGGCAATTTAGATAAGAGAATTGGCTAATTTCAACCTAAAAAATATTTTTAAAAAAGCACTAAAATTTCAAAAAATCTAATTTTTTTAGCTTTTGAAAAAAGTTGTGGTTTGTATATAGTTGCCTATGCTCTAAACAATCAAATTAGAGACTACCTTCAAATAGTGTCCAAAAATGTGGTTTCAATACCGGAAATATTTGTGATAACCTTAAAATACATTTTCATCTTTATTTATAAAGTTTAAAGCTTAAAAAACAGTACAGATCGACATATCTATACAAACTTGAAAATCTTGAACATTGATAGTCCAGAAATGTGTTACAAAATAAACTATTTCCAAAATTGAAATCTATTTTTTTATCATGTCTATGCATCTTGATGTCGAGATAATAAATTTGAGGATATTTGGGTGCCAAAACATCCTCTTCTAGTTAAATTTTTGAGGTGGCACGGCTCTATATAAGCTTTACCCCTTTGAAAAATAATGGTATCGCACTCTGTTAAGGAAATGGGAATTCTGGGCTTCAGCGACCCACAGATCGGGCTCATAAATATTAAAGAAGGTGTGGGCTGTCCTATTAAATAAGTCCTTTAAAGTTTCAAAATAAAGAATATATAAAGAAGGGTGTTGTAAAATGTTTTAAGGATTATCTCAACATCTATTTTTACATTTAATTATAAAATTTTAAATTTTAAAAATTGTTATAATCAAATAAATCTATAAACATATGAAAATCTTGAAAATAGATGGTATAGATAATATATTGTAAAATGCACTATTTTTCATAGTTGAATTTTTTTTATTTTTCAGAGTTATACATCTGAGATGATAAAAAGTTTTTCAACATTAAAACTGCTTTGTCTAATGGATTTTTGAAGGGGGTAGCAGCTTTATATAAACATTTTCGTACAAAGAGTAAAGAAATGTATAAGTATCCGCCACATTTCTTTAATAAAATAATCCAAACTTCATTTAAACATATGGAACCGGTTTCTAGACGGTTCGTATAACGAATCTTGCTGAATCGATTTTCATCCTCGGCGACCCATCGTAAAAGAGAGAAAAAAAATTTTATGAGATGGCATGATGCAACAAATGGATTTGCTTTTTCATTTTCGCTTTTTTTATTTACATAAAAACATATAAAATATAAAATGAAACCATTTCATGCAAGTCAAATTGGAGATTATAAAAATAGAAATAAAAAATTTAAGTTTGGAAGATCTATTTTATAGCAATTAGTTGCATTTCAAACTTCATTTTGACTGGAAAATAATTGTAATGGACAACAAACACTTGGACATGAGACATGTTTTTAACATTTGCATATTTTTGTCAAAATAATCAGTATCACTTTCTTTTGGAAACCTAAGAAGCTAGATTTTTAATAACTTTTTATTATTTTTAAACCTTTTTTAAGGTCAGATCCAGCCAGCCGATCCACCGAATGTGTGATCTAGATAGGCAGGTCCTAATACGTCTAAAAAGGGTTAACACTAAAAAAAACTCAAAATCCAAAGATATATGAAAAGTATGTTTAAAGTATAATTAAAAATATATCAAAATGAGATTTTAAAAACTAGTGAAAAAATGCATTTTGAAAAATCAATCGTGCCCAAAGGTATTTTAGAAATAATCCAAAATAGGAATATAAAAATAAATATTTATGGCCAAAATACTTTCCAATCTTTTTTCAAAAGAATAAAACATATATAACAAATATTACAAATAAATATTTTTATTTTAAAATTTTAAAATAAAATTTTAATTTTTCTTTTAAATTCTTAACGTAACCACCAGCAAAAAGCGGTCGGTTATGGGTAATCCGGCCGGCTTTATGGTCACTATGGAGGTCACCAATCAGTCTTTCAAAACGTTGATTTTCACAGCCTCTCCTACTTTGGGGTTTGATTTCTTTTTTGGTTAATTCAGTAGAGAAGACAGTGTAGGAATCGGGATAAATTGGGATTAGCAGTGACCGATCCTGATTTAATCGGCCCATATTTTTGATGGTTTGAACAAGTAGAGAGAGAGAGAGTTGTGTGGCTGAAAAATTTATCGGCCAATTCGTGCATAAAAATAAAAAATTCAGGGAATCGGTACATATTGGGATCAGCAGTGACCGATCCTGATTTAATCGGCCCATATTTTCGATCTTTTGAACAATGGTAGAGAGAGAATGGTGCGGCTGAAAAATTTATTGGCCAATTAGTGCATTAAAAAAAAAAATTCAAGGAGTCAGGACAAATTGGGATCAGCAGTGACCGATCCTGATTTAATCGGCCCATATTTTCGATCTTTTGAACAATGGTAGAGGGAGAGAGTGGTGCGGCTGAAAAATTTATCGACAACTGGCAAATAGAGCTGCATTATCTAGTAGAACGAAAACCAACCTTTCCCAAGTCCCCTTCATCCCCTTCTTAAAAAATGTATTCTCTAAAGATAGACCTCTTTAAAAGTCTTCTCCTTTTTTAAAAAAACTAGCCTTATCTCTATATTTAATCTTAAGGACATCTCACACCTTTGATTAAGATGAGTTTCCTAAAAAAAAATAACTATTTACTCTTCATATTTTCTATAGATAAGCCTACCCTTTATAAGCAAATGGAACCGCCCATTTCTTTAAAAAAATCTTTAATAAAATAACAAATAAATCTGAAAAAAAAAAAACTATATATATATATATATATATATATATATATATTTTGAATTAACCATTTCATGATCTGCATCAGAGAGGGCAAAAACTTACTAGAGCTTATTAGGGAAGAGAGAGATGAGAAACTTAGCATAGTCTATTAGGAGAGAGAGAGAGAGAGAGAGTTACGGAAGCCTATTAGCTGGGGAGAGAGAGCTACCAAAGCTTATTAGGGAAGAGAGAGGAGAGAGAATTACCAAAGCCTATAAGGGAAGAGAGAGAGTTGTAAAACAAGCGTTTAAGGATGAGAGATAGAGAGTTGTGAAATTACCATAGCCGAAAGCCTTTAGGAGAGAGAGAAAGAGTTGTGAAATTACCAGCCGAAAGCCTTTAGGGAAGAGAGAGAGAGAGAGTTGTGAACTTACCATAGCCGAGTAGTACGGAGGCCATGGAAGCAAGAAAAGCACAGGCAAGAGCATACTTATTCCTCTTGGGCTTCTTGATCCTGTCTGGTTGCTCATGGTCCAGATCCACATTCTCCCTCGAGATCCCCTTGGCTCCCATTTTCCATCGCTACCTTCTTCCTTGTTTGCATAGCTTATATAGACCAGAGCAACATCTTGTCAAACCCCCGACGCTAGTTTCGTATAACCCTATTAACTCATCAAAGCAATATTGAGAAAATCAATAAAAATAAAAAGGAATTGGGCTGTTTTTCTTTTTGGATTGTGTTAGGGTACATATATGTGTGAGAATTTACTAATGTCCTCAACAGTTTTGATCATTTAATACCTTTATTCAGGGCAAAGTAGAAATTCATATAGAAAAAAAAGATATTCATTAATTATACTAGAGAATGACGTCATCTCGAACACGACATGACACAAAAAGCATTAAATGCCACTAAATTCTTAAAAAAATATATGTGACATCTGTTTAATAACAAAAGAATACCCCCACTCAAAATTTTTGATATTATAGAACAAGGGTAATTAGTGTTAAAAACCATTTAGTAAATACTCACATAGATAGTTCTTTTTTTTTTTTTTTTTTTTTTTTCTTCGAGGTTTCACAGCCTTATCTAAGCTATAAATGATTGAGACAAAATGAGATGCACTACCATTCCATTAGAAAACGAACAACCACGAAAGAAGTGATATTTATGCTGAGTCCTTGGGCATTTTATTTTTTTTAAGTTTACCCTTGATATGATGTTTACCGCATATTTCTTTGATTTTTTGATATTTACAGGTTAGTTTAATGTCAAGAACATCGAACTGACAGTTTTGTTGAGCAGACCGACATTCCAAAAATTGGTTGGCTTACCCTTTTCAGTCAGCCCAATATTAGAAACATAGTTCAATAACACGATATGCGTCTCATTGATGTACATTCATTAGTACTAGTTACATGGTTCCCTTGACATGTACCAATTAAGACGAATTAACATTGTACCTGTATTAGTACTTGGTAACATGGCTCCCTTAACATGTACCAATTAAGAGGAGATGGAGAAGGTTTTCATGATGGTTGAAAAGGACTTGGGGCGCTGCTCCATGGTGCCTGAAGCCCTTAAGCTTTTGATAGAATAATTCTTTATAAAAGAATTTTAGCACCATTTGTGGCACCAACCACATATGGACCCGATTATGCGGCCAAGCCCATGTATGTAGCAAGCCTATTAATAAATCTATTTTTGAGATGGATTTTTGGAGTTAATTTTTAAAGACAAGTAATCTTTAACATGAAGACCAAGCCCGTATATGTAGAAATGCAGATCTACTAATAAATCTATTTTTTAGATGGATTTTTTGACTTAATTTTTAAGAGCATGTAATCTCTAACATGGAGATCATGAATATGAATAAATAAATAAATTTTAAAAACTAGAAACAATAATTCTAGTAAGAAAACATTTAAACCGTTTGTTTCCATTGTTTTTGGACCTACTTGCCCATCTTTAAGATGGATGCTTTACACTTTTTGGACCGCATATGTAGTCATGCAGTTCAGCCCGCATGAAATGGTTTTCCATCACATATTAACTAAAAGGTGAAGGTTATAGATGGACTCCCACATCTACAAAAGCTTTTTAAGGATATTAAGGAGAGAATGGCATATACACACGTCCCTGCTTTGGCCGATTTCAATAAGGCATTGGAGGTAGAGCGTGACGCCTCTCATGTGGGATTTCGAGTTGTGCTGAGTCAATAGAAGATATTCAATCTCAAAATACAGTTGAGCATGGCCCGTACATGTAGAAATGTAGGCTTGGCAATAAATATATTTTTTAAATATAATTTGATCCTAATTTTTAAATAATATATAATATTTAACATGGAGATCATGAATATAAATAAATAAATTTTGCAAATTAAAAATAATAATTATATTTTGCAAACTATTTGCATCCATCTGGATGCTTTATACCTCTAAACCGCATATTGTACAAATGATGTCCAACCCTCATGAAACAATTGCTCTAAATCAAATACAAGATCTCATAATTTAATTGTGCAAAAAATACCATTCATCAATTCATCTTTGTTACAAGCACAATTGATAATAGCATGAGACTTACCATGAAAACACTTTGATCTAAGAGGAACTCTTTAATATGAAGAGATGTGGAAGCCTTCAATTGTTTTACAATAAGACTTAGGTACACAGCAAATAGGTCTTCAACACCCAGTGGCTGGTTATCAATGATAATGATAGCGCCTTAATGTGGAAGCCACTTACGACTCCACTTAAACTTATTTTATCAAACACATGGTGGCAACTGGTGGGAGTTCTAGGCTACCACTGCAGATCAGAAAACTAAGCGCGCGAACCCTTTCAAAAGAGTATTCTCACCGATCTAGAATAATAATATCATATCAGGTGATGAGCAAGCTTACAGGCAAATTTAGCATCATGATACAAGACAATTTGGTATCTATGAACATAAAATGCGTAGTGCACATCCACATGAGATCATCAAATATCATCCCAAAAATAAAAAAAGAATTAAAGTTTCAATTAACCAGCTGAAATACTTCATTAAAATAAGAACTACACTTATTTGATCAAACGCTCTTATTAAAATAAGAACTACACTTATTTTATCAAACACTCTTGGTGCCAACTTGTGGGTTTCAATTAAAATAAGAATTACGCTTATTTGATCAAACACACTTGGTGCCTCGGAGAATCTCAAAATTGGGTGGAAGGCCGAGAGTCGAAACACGACTCGATAGAGAGTCTCAGATCGATCGAAGGTTCACTGCAGATTGGGACCTATTTTTCAGAGGCGAATTCGAGGCGGGTTTCAGATCTGGCGGATGATTGTTGACAGATATGGGCGGATGGTTATTGACATTGCCAATAGACACACTGTTGACAGTTGAGGAGGTACAAAGATGGAGGCTCGAGCGAAGAAATGTAGAGATGGAGGCTCGAGTGGGACCGACCAGCCCATCAATCATATGTATAATATCTTCCAGTATCGATATATACCACCTAATCTTATTATAATCAAATAATCAATATACAAATAGATATCCATACTAAACACCACACAAACCGTGCTAACTGGTGGGAGATCAGAAAACTAACGGCAAGAACCATTTCAAAAGGGTATTCTCACTAATCAAGAATAATATCGAGTCATGAGCTACCTTACTTGCAAATCTAGCATCATGATACAAAACAATTTGGTATATTTCCATAGGTTTCAAATCAATTAGTCAGGCATATTCTTATGTATGTGTGAGAAAATATCTCGAATATTTTGGTGTTGTGATTCATCAAATTTATGAAATGTAATGATAGCAAGGTATTGATCAGAAACTCTAGAAATTAGGTTGTAATGCAATTGATGTTAAAGAATGATCTAAGTGCTGGAGACAGAAGGAGATTGCAACTACATGATCAAATCAGCTCCCATAAAAAACAAAATAATTTACATTTATTCATCACATGAATAAATTACACCGAGAAATGGAGGTCCACTCAATCAACTATATTGCCGATCTTGCATATACAAAAATAGCAACACAAATTTGTGATCATCAACAAATTTTTCTGCCAAATTAAAATAAATTTCTCTCACTATCTAGTTCTAACTATTTTCCAATGCTTTTGGATGGGACCACGATCAAAATCAAAGTTTAAATAATGGTTACTGACGTGGATTTGGGGCTCTTACAGCAAATGACACACCAACCATGAATAATCAACTATATGGGGTTAGATCCATAATTTATGGATTAATATCACCGTGTAAACCTTGGTCAAGATCCATAAATTATGGATCAATATCACCATAGAAGCCTTCTAATGCTCAAATTGAATGTTAATGAAGCAATTAAGTGAAAAGCTGCCGAGAGACGATGACCGTACTTCATCAAAATTAAAGATTTAATCGCATTATAAAGATGTTGAAATCATGGAGCTTGATCTTGGTGAGTAGTATGGCGCCTCCACATTCAAAAGCCAGAGATGAAGTGATCCTAACCTTATTTGTTACATAAAGAAGAAGAGAGAAGGAAAATATATTAAAATATTTTAATATATCAAAACCCTAAACATAGCCATAAACAACATTTAAGACACGAACATTTGCATAAAATATATCTTGTTAAAAAATCCTAAAAAATAAAAATAAATTATTCAAAAAGAAGAAAAAAGATATGCTCTAAAATCATAGATAAAATGCATTAATTATCTCTTTTCTCTAGCATTCATGTGTTGTCCAATCTAGCCAATAACCCTGCAGAGATGGAGTGAACCTAACCCACTTATCACATCATAACTTGCATAGACAAATGCATCTTCTCCCATTCAAGGTTTTCAATATATTGTATTAAAAATATACAACCAAGAAAAAAAGGGAGAGTACCTTCTTGCTTTGTTTCTTTTACCACTTTTAGATGGAAAAAGACCTCCTTGCAGCAACCAGCCATGAAGAAATGGGATAATGAGTGTGTGGTTGGGGCATGATGGGGCTTGGAGAGAGGGCTTATTTGTAATGGATAAATTTAAAAAAGATCTAAACATCAATATCTATCCACGATAAATTCCTAAAATCTCTACTTGTGATCTTAAGAAACCTTCTAATTTAAAGATGATCTTAAGACACCTTCTAATTTAATGATTTTCATTGGGAGATTGCCTTCTCTTTTTGTTTTCTTTTTTCTTTTTTTTTTATCGGTTTTTATGAAGAAAAAAGTTTATATAAGGTCTCAACCTTATACCGTCAGGTGACGAAAACCCACTATCAATGGTTGTTCCTATGCTGAAAAACCCTCATATTGATCATCTTAACCTCGAGATTCATAGATATGAAAAAAGAAAAGAGATTTCTTTGTTTTTTTTAGTAAGTAAAAAAAAAAAGAAAAAATATTCATCTTCAAATACATTATCTAGACCGTCCATTTTCAAGATTTTCATCTACTTGATCATCACCATTTCTAGAACTTTAAATTTCATAATTGGGGCAAAAATAGACTTTCATATCATTGCAAGGTTTTGCATCATCAAAAATGCATTTTTGGCATAGTTTTGAGCTACACCTTACTTCAATAGTATATGGTTGACACCTTATATAAACCCCACCTTTTTATGAATTTACTTCCAAAGGAAAACTTCGATTTCTTTAATCAAAAGGGAATGATTTCATGTAACAGTAGATGATCTATTATACGTAATAGAAATTATTAGCTACATGAACCAAATCTAATTCAAAACAAAAAATGGGTGCCAAAATAGACCGAAAAGTGGGCCGTAATTGTTGAAATTTGACTCAAAGTGAGGCCGGAATTATTTGCATAATTGGTCCCCCATCTTCTACACTTTTTTTGGATTAATGGGAAATTGGCCTTTCCATAGTAATTAGAAAGATATTTCTTTTGAATTTAAGGGAAATTGGTTTTTTTCATAGTAATTAGAAAGAGATTTCTTTTTGGGCTAAGAAAGGAAAAGCGTATAGGATATAGGTGCCCACAAACTCAAAATTGATTCCTGTTTGTTTGGAAAATACTGATCTAGTGATTCTTTTCCAAAGTAGGAATACTTTTCCAAAGTAAAATCCAAAAATTTAGATCAGAATAAATAGTTCCAAATATCTTATCTAAGGGGAAACTATTCCAATTTCCCTAGAGAAATTGTATCTGGCGGGACGTTGGCCTCCCTCCTTTCACTCTGCATGATAAGGTCAGGGAGAATGCGTTCTAACGAGAACTGCCCGCCACCCCTCAATGTTGATCTGCTGAGTCGAGCCCTCCATGTTGGATGAGGCTGCTGAACCTGAGGGTGAGTTGGAGGACAAAAAAAAATCCCCCACGTAAGTCTTCTATCCGAGGGGATAATTGTATAGAATGCCCCTGTAGGAGCATAGTATCGAACTCAAGAAGAAAAATAGAAACAAGAAAAAAGGGCAAAGGTTGGTTGTTTGGGAAAAAGTGGAAATCTTATTTGACAAGAAGACCTTCGGAAAGGGATTGATTGAGAAATAACTGGGTAGAAATTATATGACAAATTATATGTCCCTCACTCTTCTATTTCAAGGTGCTGTCCTACCACTATGGTTGAAAAAAGCCTCTCTCTCTCTCTCTAACTCAATTATAGAACCAAGCATTTGGGCTACTCAAAGTTGTGGAATGTACAAATATGAGGCCTTGTAAAAGATTTTATTTCAAAGAGAGAAGAGACTGATACAAGTAGAAAATATAAAGAGGAAAGTAGGTCCATTTCTTATGAAAGAGTAAAAGGGAAAATGAGTTAGGCATGGGCAATGATATCAATAAATTTTCCTTGGGGCTGCCAATCAAGCCGGGCTGGCTAGTGGGCCTAGCAGCCGGTCTGGGCCAACCCTGCCTCAAGCAGCCCCCTGAGGCTGTTGGATTGGGACTGAGCATAAATTATTTGCACCTGGCCCGGGCTTAGGCAGCACAATAATGCCCACTGGCCAAACTCTAGCTTAAATACCTCAAGGCTGGGTGTGCCTAGCTAGCCCATTGGCAATGCTGTACTAAGGGTGGCAATAGGCCAGGTGGCCCGGCTTTGAAAAACTGGGGGCCTCGACAGCATAATGTGGCCCAAGGGCCAGGATATGGTTGGGCTCAGGCTAGGGCAACAACAGGGCCAGCCCAACCCCTCTTTATCTTTATTTTTCTTTCTTTATTTTATTTTTTATTTTATTTTATCTTGCTTGGGCACGGCCGGCTATATCCGGGCTAAGGCTAAGGTACCCATAAAATTTTAGGTCAAGCTTGGGCCATTGCCTAGGCCAAGCCTGACCCACTGGCATCCCTCTGGTGGCCTCTAGCTAAGAGGGTACGATGACCTTGATTGATGTGTGACTTTGGTAGAAATACATCACCAAATGTGAATTGTGGCCTCAAGAACGGAGAAGTTATCAATAGAGATTTGTCTTCATCTAACTCAATTGATAGATTGGATGTGAAATTGAATTGTAGCCTCAAGAATGAGAAGTTATCAATTGAGATTTGTATTCATGTAACTCAATTAATTGGTTGAATGTGAAATTGGGTGGCTGCATTTATTGCATTACCCCACCTCAAAGGTCAAAATCAGTGTTTTAAAAATCGTTGAATCGGCACGGAATTGGTCTATTCGAATCGAGAATCGGTCATCCCGTGTAGTTTCTTTTGTAAAGCCGGAAATCGTCTGGTACTTCTCTAGAGGAACCGTTGATTCTGCACAGTAAATCGCCCCGTTCTTCACGTCATGATGTCAGACTTGCAGTCAAAGGGCATTTTTGTAAAATTTGGAGAATTTCGAGACAAAACTGGTTCTTCTCATCATGACGTCAGGACTCACAGTCAAAGGGAGTTTTTGTAAAATTCAGGGAATTTCAAGGCAAAACCCTCCTCAAAGGTCAAAATCAATGATTTTAAAATAGCCGAATCAGCAAGGAATCGACCGATTGAGAATCGGTCATCCTGTGTCGGTTCTTTTGTAAAGCCGGGAATCGCCCGATTCCTCTCATCCCGTGTCGGTTCTTTTGTAAAGCCGGGAATCACCCGGTTCCTCTAGAGGAACCGGCTTTATCGGCGATTCTATACAGTAAATCGCCCGGTTCTTCGCGAAGAGAAACCGGCTTTATCGACGATTATGCACGGTATCGACGATTCTACACAGTAAATCGCCCGGTTTTTCACGAAGAGGAACCGGCTTTATCGGCGATTATGCACGGTAAATCGCCTGGCATCAGGAACCACAGTCAAAGGGCATTACAAAAATTCGGAGAATTTCAAGACAAAAATTGTCAGACCCTGAGCCCAACAGGAACCACAGTCAAAGGGCATTACAAAAATTTGGGGAATTTCGAGACAAAAATTGTCAAAGACCCTGAGCCCATGGGTCCGCACGCTTCGCATGACCCTAAGTTCTTTCACGCACGTGTACTCACGATCCACACGCTTTGTGTAATCTTATCGCTTCACACGCGCTATAGACGATGAGTACAAAGAATTATTTATTCATATAGATTTGCTTCTCTCTCTTCGATGTGGGACTATGTGAATAGATAATACCTTAAAATGTTCATATATTATATATTTTGTTAACGGTTTTATAAACACTAAGTTGCAAGTGCTATACCGGTTATTACATATCCTCATTGTGAGAGAGATGCGGGTTTGATTCCTCTTGTTGAGGAGCTGTTTTTTAGGTATTTTCTTTTTTATCAACCGATCCGAATGGGTTTTTGGGGTGTCTGATTCAGGTCATCGATCCGTTTTTTAAACCACTGGTCAAAATAATTTTTTTTCGAACCATGTCACATCCAATCATATTTCACGTTAGATGGTTATATAATTGTGATCTCCTAATACTATAAAAAAAAAGGTCTTGTTATATATAATCCCTTGAATCATCATCCAAAAAATCTAAAATGTGGCCACAAATAGTTGCTTATGATGTAATCTAAAATGTGGCCTCAAAAAACTCCTCTTGATGTTTCCTTTGAACAAAGGCAAGTCCTTCCCATAATCAAATTTCAAGAACTAATACTCTCTCTCTCTCAAGAACAAATCACTCAAGATGATAAATAAAAAGAAAAGGAAATAGAAAAACATGATAGAAACATAAATGAAGCAAATTTGATTTAAAAATAGTCATTGGTTCTCAAGAGTTACAAAGCCATTTTCTTCTCCACTATTCTATTCCCAATTCCCATCTCACCTCGTGCTTCGTTCCTCAATCCATCACCTCGTGCTTCGTTCCTCTTTCCATTAGATTCTTCTTCCCTTGAAAGTTTATTCTCTCTTTGGATAATTGGAATTCAGACATTGACATAAACTGAACACTTTTCATAGTTCGTTCTTCTTAACCATTTGCAGTGATTCTTATTGGTGTCAAAACAACAAGTCTAACCTTTACCTTATATAGTCAAGGAGATTCTCACCATGTTGCATTTGAGCTCATATCCTTGCTTCTTTTCAAGTAGAAGGATCACCATTGGCAAGTTCGACTGATCGGTTGGTCTCACTGGCTGCCTTGTTCTGAGGCCGAAGTGGTATCGCTGTTTTCTTTGCAAACAAATCGCTCATGTCCTCGAGTGTCTGGCCCATGGTCTCAGGCAAGAAGAAGAAGAAGAACAAGAATGCAAGACTACAAGTCCCTGCAAACAAGAAGAAAACCCCTTGTATGGTAATCGCCTTGTACATAGATAAGAATGTCATTCCTATCACACCGCTCAGCAGACGGTTCACTACCGCCGCGATGCTCGCCCCTTGAGCCCGTAGCCTCAGAGGTAATATCTCCGAAGTGTAAACCCAAGGTATTGGTCCTAGACCGAATGAGAAAAATGAAACAAACAGAAGAATTGTGGCTATGCATAGAACAATGGCCCAAACCAACTTCTCATCAGTGTGTGCTATCATGGTTAAGCCAAAGCCAAGACCACATAATGTAACTATCATTCCTCCCACACTAGTAAGAAGCAGTGGCCGCCGACCCACTCTATCCAAGAGGAAAGTGGCTACTAGAATAGCAGCGGTCTTTATGAGTCCGACAGCAATTGTGGCTCCTAGAAGCTGATTTTTCTCCTTTATCCCAGCCTTTTCAAAAACCCGAGGGCTATACAGAACGACTGCATCGATGCCAGAGCATTGCTGGAAGAAATGTATGCCTACAACTACAATTAGGATGCGGCGGACGACTGGGGTGGGATGTAGGAGGAGCTCCTTCCAAACACCCTCACCATGGTGACGTTTAGGCACATGTACAATCTCGTCATCGGTGTCATCGGGGATCTCGGCAGCGAGCTTGATTTCGGAGATACGGAGTTGTGCTTCATTTGACGAGTCCGATATCTTTAGCAAAACCTGTCACATACGCATAATTCAATGATACTAGAATGAACTGGCGAGAGTAGTACTAGAATGGGTGACCTCCTCAAGGTCCTTACATTGAACTCCCGAGAGTAGTACTAGAATGGGTGACCTCCTCAAGGTCCTTACATTGAACTCCCGAGAGTAGTACTAGAATGGGTGACCTCCTCAAGGTCCTTACATTGGGCAAAGTGTGGGACCAACCAAACATGTCACTATTTCATTTTATGTCCATTGGACACGTGACCGTGTTGTTGCCAGGATCATATTTCTTTTACAAACATGTCACTATTCGATTTTATGTCCATTGGACATGTTGCCAGGACTGATGGATCATCCTTTATAGAATGCTCCAAAGGAAACCTATTTTTTAACCAAACATGATATAAGTTAACGAACACTGCATGGTCAAAAAGGCATTTGCCCCTTCGATACTCATTAGTACGAGTAAGAAGGGTAATTCGTCCTTGAGATATTGGAAAATAGAAAGGTCTCTTTTTTTTATGTTTTAAAGCTCTATGCACTCAAGCTTGAAGTCCACTATAAACACCAGAGTGATATATTCTTAGAGGCACCTGAGTTATACCTTTTTAGAGAGAGATAAAATAAAAACGGTAGAGAGAGATAAAGTAAAAGCAGATAAAGTAAAAACGGTAGAGAAAGCGTTTCTAACTCTGTTGTCTTTAATATGCTGAAGATATATGTAAAACTTTTGATGATAATATCAAGATAAAATCCAAAACTCAAACATTTTGAGTTTAAAAAATTTTAAATTTTGAGGGATGTGAAAATGAGAACAAAATTTTTTTAATTTATTTTGAAAAAATTTACATTGTGCATTTATATCGGTTATTTGGTTCTATTTAAACCATCATTTTTTCACAAACCACCTTTTGTAAAAAAATTGAGAAATTTTAAAGATTAAAAAAGTAAGGTATTTTTAAAAAAAATTACAATTTAATATGAGATTTACATAGTGTGATAATAAACACTCTGCCCTTCAAAGGATGAGGTTTGTCTAAGGTGCCTGTATATCTAGAGTTAAAAACTTTATAATACCCTTTACGATGGTCTAAAATCTATGTTCAATCTTAATTACGAAATTTTAAATTTAAAAAATAATACAGAGGGTATATTATGCAATATGCCCCATATTATCAGCACCCTCGTGGCCTTTTTCTTTTTCTAAGTTGCCCCCAGTACGACAATGAAAACACCCAGGCCTCTTTCTTTTCCTAAGTTGCCCCAATACGACAATGAAAACACCCAATCAGCAGAGAGAGAGAGGGAGAGAGAGGGCTCGAAAAGATAGAGAGGAGAGAGAAGGCTCAAAAGATAAATAGTAAAGAGAGAACGAGAGAAGAGAAATGACGAGAAGATAGGGGTCGCTGGGTTTTGGGGATACAAGATAGTTATTTGGTATTTCGAATACCGAATAACAAAGAACTAGGAAATGAGCTTAAAATGATATGAGTTGTCTAATAATACTAATGTCAATAACTTTGGCTATTGTTTCTGTAATCACCCCCTGTACGGTGTGTCTATAATCAACCCCTGTTCGGTGTGTCTGTAATCAGCCCTTGTCCGGTGTGTCTGTAATCGCCCCTGTCCGATGTGTCTGTAATCGCCCCTGTCCAGTGTTTCAAGGGGCAACTTGGAAAAAAACAAAAAAGCCGCCAAGGGTGCTCATAATATTAAGTATATTGGACACCATTTGGTAATAGATTCCCCAATATGGTCCGCACGTAAATTTTTTTTTTTTTTCTTTATATCCATACATTTTGAAATCAAAGAGGGTCAAGTTTATTAGTTGGGAGGTTTTCACCGCATTATTGGAGGTTCAAAAGCAGACGTAGGAAGGTTGAAATTCAAGGCGGCTAGGTCACACCTACACAAACGAGAAACAGAGATAGAAAGAGCATGTGTGTGTGGGTTGTTATTGTGAGAGAGACCATGAGAGAGAGAGAGCATGCGTGTGTATGTTGTGTGTGAGAGGCCATGTTTGTATGTGATTTTCTATGTGTAAGAGAGCTTTTGTCACTCATCAGGGAGATAGAGAGACCATGTTTGTATCTGAATTTGTGTCACTCGTCAGAGTGAGAGGATTAAATTTTTTGTAAAACAATCTCCATTACGAACCTTCTTCGCAGCTCCCAGCTTCCCCTGCATCACGAGCCACCTCGGCGACTCCGGCATTGCAAGCACCCCCACTGCTAGAAGCATCGATGGAACCACCCCCACTCCGAGCATCAGCCGCCAGTTCAGGTGCTCCGGCAGCCTCGCAAATGCGTAATTCGAAACATATCCCAACAAAATGCCCACATTTATGAAAATCTCAGGAAAAGTAGTCAGGAAACCCCGGCACGATGCAGGCGCCAGCTGATAAAATCACAAGGATCATGAGAAATTATGATATTGAAGAGGAAATTAAAAATCATAAAGTGAATGGATTTGGTAGGCTTACATTTATTTTCCTTTTCCTTTTTTTTGAACACTGAAAATCACTATTAAACAAAAAATTTAAAAAGAAAAAGGAAAAAAGCAGGGCTTTATAACGATTTGAAGGGTTTTCTTAATGTTCTAAAGGTTGTTTTAGGGTTAAGAAAGAGAACTTTCTACTTCTCAGCACAAGGTGTTTTTTCTTTTTAATAATTAAAATTCCTTCTCAAAGTCTAAATTATTTTTATTGGTATTGTCGAATGATTTTAATTAAGTATTAAAGCATCAGGACTGGATTACCTCAGTAGTGTACACAGGTGCTATCATTATTGCATATCCGATACCGATCCCGGCCACAACGCGGCCGGCCATTAGGAAAGCATAATTGGGAGCTAAACCCATGATAATGGCACCCAAGAAGAAGATGGCAGCGGCAAAGATGATAGTGTAGCGGCGGCCAATCCAATCAGAGGTCCGGCCAGCGAAAGCAGAACCGATGAGAGAGAATACGTTGATGGAGCCGGCGAGTATCTCAATTTTGGTGTCATTGATGTGGAGGTTATCCTTGATGAAGATCACTGCCCCGCTCATCACACCGATGTCTGTGAGAGGGGATGAGAATGCTGCTTATTCACCCAAACCTTCAAACACGCACACTAAAATCTCTCTCTCTCTCTCTCTCTAACACACATAGATCTCTAACTATTCCTTATTAACTCTTTTACTCGGTTTTGTTTTTTCGTTGGTCGGCCCTCTCTCTCTCTCTCTCTCTCTCTCTCTCTCTCTCTCTCTCTCTCTCCATACAAGCCGCGAGCCACTCCAAACGCGTCCTCTCTCTCACAGAACGCGTCCTCTCTCTCACAGAAGCACGAGGACGAAAAACAAAGGAATTAGAAAGTCGGAGAATGATGGAGAAAGAGAGAGAGAAAATTGATCGTACAGAGAAATAAAATTGTTACTGTTTCTACCAAAAAAAAAAAGAAAAAAAAAAAAAATTAGATGTGAAATTATAAGGGGAGAGAGATGTAAACTTACCATAGCCTATATGGGGGAGAGAGAGACGTAAACTTACCATAACCGAGAAGTATGGAGGTCATGGAAGCAAGACCAGCACAGGCAAGGGCATACTTATTCCTCTTCGGCTTTGTAATCCTCTCTGGTTGCTCATGATCCAGACGCACATTCTCCCCCTCGCTTCCCATTTTCGATCAATACCTCCTTCCTCGTTTGCACAGGCTGATATAGTCGAGAGAAACATGTGGTCAAACCCTTAAACTCCGGTTTGGCATAATCAGCACATTAATAATTGTTGTAGTGGCAAAAATAAATCAATATTAGGAAAAGAAAAAAGTTTAGATGAGGTTGCAACCTTAATATCTAGAGTTAAAGGTGCGTCTCAAAAATCAATTATAAATGATTAGTTTGGATGTTGGAAAAATCTCTAATTTACCATATTCTTGATGCGTAAAAAAAAAAAATATTTCTCAATCCAAGCAACAGAGTATCTTACAACACATTATCTGGACCGTTTATTTTAAAATAATTTATGTATTTATTGATCTACTTAATTTGAACCATTTTTAGAGTTTAATATTTTATAATTAAATATGAAAATAGATTCTCAAGCTATCCTAAAAAAAATTATATCAAATTTATATTTCTAATAAAATTTAGAGGAGCGCCTTAATTGGATTGTTGAAGATTGCAATCTTATGCAAACTATACCCTTAGGAAAATCAATAGAAATTAAGAGGAAATAGGGTTTTATTTTTGTTGAGGTTTTATAGCTTAATCTAAGTTCCACACGGTGGAGATAAAACGAGGTGCACCTGCCAAGGACAAATTGGCAGGAAAGAAAAAAAGAAAACAAAAAGTAGAACATCAAAATTTATGTCGTGGGTCTGTGATTACATCCATAGGTGAAGATGATTAATAGTTTTATTATTTAGCTTAAAATTATACCAGATAACTTTATTGAGGATATTTTAGGGGAAGCCAAAAATATAAAGGGTAAACAATCAAAGTAATATGAACCTTTAAATGGTGTAGAAAGAAGTGTAAATGGTGTAGAAAGATATTGTTTCAATGCTAAAAATATTTATGATGGTTTGAGAATTTATTTTCATATCTAATTATAAGATTTAAAGATTAAAAAATAATGTAGATCGAGCCGATCTATGAACAGTTGAAAATCTCTTGAAAATTAACTGAGTAGAAAATACATTACAAGATGTACTATATTCAAGATTGAAATCCATTTCTATCATGTCCATACATCTTGACTTCAAGATGATCAATTTGAGGATTTTTTTGGGTATTGAAACAAGCTCTTCTAATGAATTTTTAAGGTGGGCTTTAATTTAATTATTTAGATCTAATGATATACGATGAAGTCCATGTTTTTAGAAAAAGAAGGGTGAAGCCCGTGTTTTTAGAAAAAGAAGGGTGAAGCCCGTGTTTTTAGAAAAAGAAGAAGTTATCGTGATTTTTTATTTGAATCCTTTTAAATTAGAAACTACATCCTTAAGGAACGGCCATGGGAAAGATTCAGTTAAATATCTTAGCTGTGAGAATCTCAATTAAATCTATAAGGATATGGATAGCTTTCTAAATCCTAAAATGGATAGGGCCTCACGTGGTTATCCTTATGGATTATGGAATATCTTGGACATCCTATTTCATAGGATGTAGATCTTTATGGCCTCTATCTATCTTAATCCTAACAGATGTGAGAAATATGAGGGAATTAGGAATGGGTCTTAATCCTAACAGATGTGAGAAATATGAGGGAATTAGGAATGGGTAAAGATGGTCACTTAGTCTTTAGGTCTCTTTATTTATCTATACTATATTATTAAACCAGAGTCAAGAGGTGGATATGTGTCGTGAAAAATGAAAAGGGACACTAATTCTAAAGTATATATAAGGTATCTAACTTCTAAATTAAAGATATCCTTGGTGCATAATCCCTATCTTTAAGGGAGAATACGTGGATAAGAAATTGTAAAAAAAGATAGAAATCAATGGGGAAAATAGTTTCCATATTTAAGGGAGAGATAGAGTTAACTACGTGAGAGAATGAGAAGGAGAGAAAATATAGAGAGAAAATCAAGGGAAAAAATAGGTTTCTATATTTAAGAGAGAGAGATTAATACATTAGAGAATTAAATTGGCTTTGAAAAGAATGAATGAGAGATATTCTAGGAGGTAAAAATATCTACAAATTTTAGAATGAAGGTGTATTTCCTTCCTTTAAGCCCTTCAGACAAGGTATATTCCAACTCCTGCTTAGCATACGTTGTTGTTCATCTATTTTAATTAATGTTATCTAAATTGAGATTTTAATAATATTGATTATCATTAATAATTAAAAGTGTGATTGTAGGATTATTATCATAATAATTTGTTATTTGCATCCTATATTAGGGTTTAATTATACATTTTAAGCTTTTTAACATAGATTTTTGAAAGTTTTACATAAAAAAAAATGTCGACATTAGCCCACTAGCTCATATGAATATATGAGCCCAACAGCTCAGATATAATCTGGGTCGATCTGACGGTCACGATCGTATTTCGTATTTAAATTTTAATATTTTTAATATAAATCTAAATAAGTTGAAATTTTAAGCGCCCATTCTTCTCATCAAGGCGCACCTAATAAAAATATTTTTAAAAATAATTCATAAAAAATAAATTGACCAAAATACCCTTAAAACATTATAGGGGTATTATGGTCAATTTATTTCTTGCAAATTATTTTTTTGATATTTTTATTAGATTCTCTTATTTTAGAAGAATATACATCTAAAATTTAAAATTATTCGGAATCATATAAAAAAAATTAAAATTAAAATACAAAATAACGTCGTGACCGTCAGATCGGCTCAGATTCAATTTGGGCCATTTGACTCATATGAACGCATATGTTCATATGCACTAGTGGGCTAATCCCAGCATTTTCCTTATATAAATAACATGGTCTTTGGTATAAGACTAATCACTAAAAATAAAAATTATTTTGAAAATAAATTATAAATTTATGTGCTCATTAATGTCATTCATGACCAATCTTTTAAAGACTTTTTTATGTTACCAACATTATTTTTTTTTTTCACAAGAAATAATGTTTTATCAACACTTTTAAATAATAGCTTTATTTTTGTAATTTAGTAATTTTAATTTTTAAAAAAAATGAGTTTTTTGTGTTGCTGTGCTTTCTAAAATTACAATAACTTTTAAATTTTATTATAAATTCATAAATGTTTGAAACTAAATACATTCTACAAAAACAAAAAACAAAAGGAGACCAAATTCTATTTTCTTGTATTTTTGAATAATTTAGAAATTTAAAGTACAAAGTTTTTTTTGTTTTATCTATTACAAAAGTACAAACTCATATTTGTGACTTTTTTATTTTTATTGCTTTAAACTTTGGTTTACACATTTTCCTTTTTCGAGAGTTGTAAGCCATAAAAATTGAGCTCAGCTTTAAGTAATTTACGATGTTATAGAAGTAGTTTCTTATTCATGCCCACAAATATAATATTGTAGTCTCTTTGGATCACTCTTCTCTCATCATCTCTTTAGTTAGTATAATTATAAGCTTTTTTATCATTCGTATGATTTGTTTATCTTTCATATCAAATGCGCCTTTTGACAGAAGAATGTAAACAACTTATTAAGCATAGTGTTCACTATTACAAAGTTGTTTTACTTAAGAAGTATCATCTTTATAGTTATACTATTGTCAGCTGTTCATAATTTATAAGTTAATTAGGTTACAGGAGGCTAATAGCCAATAATAATAATACTACCGTTAGTTGGAATACAATCGCCACCTTCCCGTATAATATACCTAGCATATTGATGGATTGTGAGGATATATATATATATATATATAGCAATGATTTTATGCAACCGTTGTATAGTAATATGATGCAACAATCTTAAAAAACTATCTTATGGCTATTTTTTTGATTCAAAATTTGAAATATGTACTCTTTTCTTTCTAATGAACAATCACAAAAAAATAAAAAATTTAAAACACAACCTAGAAAGTATTTTTTTAGCCCAATTAATATAAGCCGTCCATTTTGGTAAGATGATTAGATCTAGGTCTTAGAATGATTTTTTGCATTTCCAATTTTTTTGAATGACTTTATTATCATTAGATGAACAATGTTAAAAAGGAAAAAATGATTTTGATTTCATAAAGGCTAAGATCTTGAAATTCACAAAATGAATGGTCTAGATTCGTTTTTGGGGGGGACTCATTTTGACTAAATCTAGTGTTCAAATTGAAATTTTTTTTGGGGGGATTGATTATTGAGATGAAAGGAGTGTGTGTGCAAAATTTGGGGTCATACAAATAGTACAAACATGGTTTTCTAGAAGTGTCGTTTCATTATACTATAACACGACTGTTGCAACGGTTGTATCATAGTACAATGCAACCACACTTCTAGAAAACATATTTGTGGTATTTGTATGACCCAAAATTTGCACACACACTCTCTTCATCTCAATAATCAATCTCAAAAAAGAAAAACTTTGATTTGAACCCTAGATATGGTCAAAATTAGTCCCCCTCTAACAACAAATCCAGACCATTCATTTGGTGAATTTCTAGATCTTAGCCTTTACGAACTCAAAATCATTTTCTTCTTCTTTAACATTGTCTATCTAATGATAATAAAGCCATCTAAAAAATTTGGCAAAGAAAAAATCCTTCTAAGACTTAGATTTAAGTATCTTATCAAAATGAACGACCTATGTTAATTGTTAATTGGGCTAAAAAAATGCTTTCTAGGTTGTGTTGTTAATTTTTTTTTTCTTTGTGGTTGTTCATTAGAATGAAAAGAGTGCATATTCTAAAATTTGGATCAAACAAATGGTTCTAACATGGTTTTTGAATGTTATTGCATTATACTATGATACAACTGTTGCATGAAATCACTACCTATATATATATATATATATATATATATATATATATATATATATATAGAATAACTACATAGTAACGTACTTACTTACTTACTTCTACGTATAGTTAGTTATTAGTTACGTACGTACTACTACTATTAATTTATTTTATT